GCTATCTGCACCTTTTTTCTATTTTTTTTTTCTTTATGATTTTGCCTTTTTTGTAGAAAGGCTGTGCAGATCTTCAATGGAAAGTTTTATTCTGATGAAAACTTGAAGTGTCCGCTCATAACCTGCTTCATGAAGTAATGCAGCCTCCTGCTTCTAAGAGTGAAGTGAAGTGAAGTGAAGTGAAGTGAAGTGAAGTGAAGTGAAGTGAAGTGAAGTGGACTCCCCTCCTCTCCACTCCAAAGCCTCTTTGACCCTTCTAAAAGTCAGCTTCTGGAAGCCATTTCCACCTTTAATGACTGTCAAGAGGCTAAGAGGTGATGGGAAATTATTAGTAACTTTTCCTAAATCAGATGATGCTTCCTTTATTACACTAAGGTGTATAAAAGCAATCATTTTTACTGGCAGTGTGCATGTATGCTCTCACTGAGGTAACTGCAACTCAGGGCATTAGCATTAATGGTTTCTCCTCGCATTAACGTCTACACTTGGGAGCCCCTTCACGGTGGGGGATGTTCCCTATAGCTCTTTGTTTCCAAAATTCTTTTCATCAGGAGCTCATTATCTCCCAAGATTTAAATTAAAATCTGTGAATTAAATGGTTTGCAAAAAGGGGTGCTGGATAACTTTGTAGCACATTTAAAACAGAATTGACCAGATTTGCATTTCTTAAACAAACCTGCAGAACAGCTTTTAATTTCTGCAAAAATGGGTACATGTCCTAATATGCCCCCCACCATTATCCTCTCATTTTGTGTACATGTGAAGGAACACAATGTGAAATTAACTTTTGATGCATTTTAGGTCAGAAAAAATATATTTGTGATACTGGAGTACTGAATAATGATGACATGAAAAATATCACCTATAAAATATAAATCTGTGCATTCTAAAAGCTACCTGGAGGTCTTTAATTTTGTCAAAGTGGGGATGGTGGCCTTTACCCTATTCCTCATCTAAGTGCTAAATGTTATTTGAATAGTGTTGTGGGTAGAGAGAGAAGGGAATTTTCCTTTTTTTCATTCTAGGATTTCTGCTACCTGGAAATTTTGTTTCAGAAGTGAATATCAGAGGTTAAACATTTCCCATTGCTCTGATCAAAACTAAACCCCCCAATATTTGCTTCCCAGTTTAGCTTATTTTTACTATATTTTTTCAGCCAAACATGTGGTTTGACCTAAAACTTGAAAGTGGAGGTTTGAGCATAATATATCTTTTTGGTGGATTAGATTTTATCAGACAGTTGACCTTTGTCATCTATTGCAGATTCTCATTACAGTAGTGGTAGTGACATAAGTTCATCTTTAACTGTCACTATAGGCTTTAAGTAAAGTGTTCCAGCAGAATGTTTTGATTCTGTACTATTTAGAGCTAGAAATGAGATCTAAAGATAAAATATGTGCATAGATGGCAAGGGGGGAAAAAAGGATAGAGAAAGCTCTTCCTCTGAGTTAAAAATTTGCATTGCTAGTCTGTTCAGATATGATAGGTTGATACTGATGATGTATTTTGATCTAAATACATACACCCAAATAAAATATAGAGATATATGAGAAAACTGTACACAACCAATTTCAGAGCTCCCCAACAGTTTGGAGAAGCAAAACACGTAGAAATTTGAAATTTTGCAAATAGTACAATTAACTCAAAACTATTCATAAAGTAGTACATGTTCAGGAAAATACACAAACACCCTGAATACAAAAATGCGTACAATGTGTGTAAATATTTATGCTGCCCTTTTTCTTGCTGAATATATAAACAAGTCAAACAGAATTTAATAAAATCAGTAATTTTAGTAAAACTAAATATGACAGAATGGCCCATTGCTAAACAAATATCAACATTCAGATAGTAAGCAACAATAACCAGATTAAATTAGGGCAATGGTGATTTCACCAAGAGTTCCTGAAAGTGGTCAGTTCAATCATTTAAGGAAAGTCATTTTTGCGAAATTATTTAAAGACATCATAATGCTGATTCTTCAGTGTATTTATTTGGTAGTAATAAATATTGTTTGCTAACAATCGTATTGCTAAGCTTCATCTTGCTTTACCGTTGGAAGCCTTAGCTTAATTATTTCATCCTCTGTCCGAATTGTTACTGTATGTGCAGTGGAAGGCATGGGTCAGGTTAACTCTAGCCTACTTTCTCTTATCCTAGGCAGCAGTCTGGCCCTAGGCTATCTATCCACCCACTTCTAAGTCCCCATACCTGGATATCTCCTCCATGGACAGCAGTGAGAGATGGAAAGAACTCAGCTGGATTTGGCAAAGTGATGCTGAACATCTTTCTAAAGCTAAAAAAGCACAATTTGGAAGAGAATGAAAAGTACTGTAAGTAAGAGTTTGGAGAACAGTAACAAGCAAGCACAGGAAGAGCGGATTTGGATCAGCAACAATATGTAGAAATCTTTTCTCAGATTTATCTTTGCATCATTTTCAGGGTGCTTTAGAGTTTGGGGGTTGGTATTTTTGTGGTTATCTTGTTATATAGTAGCAAACTGTAGTATGGGTTTCTCAAATATATTTACAGTGTTCTGATCTTCAGACAGAGGCTGCCCATATTTCCTGAACTTATAAACTATCATGGAAGGACTGATTTCACACTAGAAAGCAGTCTAGAATTGGCTCTATCTGATTTCTAATGGAACACCATCTTTTCCTTTTACAATTATTTTTAAAAAGTATAATTAATGGCCTCTGCTTCATGAAACACAAATATATTACCTCACAACAATGAGAATTTACACATCCTGCATTCCAGGATTTCAGAACTTCAGAAAAGGGAATTATATTTTCATTAGAAAAAGTTAAATGTAAACTGTATTCAGAATTAAATGATGTAATCAAGGGAAACAAAGGAAAAAAACATGTCACTGCACTTATTTTGTCACAAAAAGGTGAAGGGAACATAAAGATCTAAATTATCCCAATATTCCTTATTATTTTGAAAAACAACCACGTATGACCATATTTGCTAATCTGGTATTCTTTAGATGTGCTAGACTACAATTTCCTAAGGATGCTGACTAGGGATAATGGGAACTGGAGTCCAAAATATACGAAGGGAACCAAATAAAGGTTGGCACATAGGAGGTGATCAAAATGTGGTCTCCTCTTTACACTCAGAAATAGTTACATCCATTATTTATCCCATAAGTTGGGATAAGGTGTGCCAGATCTTTTTTCTGTTTCACATAGCAGAGAAATATTTAAGTCATGTGATTCCATGAAATTGAACAGATATGATGACAGAGACCACATTTTCTACCCCTTAGTGGAGCTGTTCCCTGTCTGACACACTCCATGTGCATTGGATTACAGATCCCACATCTGGGCCACACTTTTAGAATGACCACTGTAAGAATCAATCTGGGTTTCCACAAAATTAATTCTACATCACAACTCTATGGACAATTGAACCAAATTTAAAATCTATTTCTTCCACAGTGAACACTGCTTGAGAGGAGTCATGTAGAGGGTATGGACATAAAACATTGCATAGATCTTTTTTCTTTTTTGGTCCCTTCAAGTCAGTGTTGACTCTGGTGACTGTCTGGACAAGTCTTGCAGTTTTCTTGGCTAGGTTTTTTAGAAGTGGTTTACCATTACCTGCTTCCTAGGGCTGAGCGAGAGCAACTGGCCCAAGGTCATTCAGCTGGCCTCATGCCTAAGGTAGGACTAGCACTCACAGTCTCCTGGTTTCTAGCCTGATACCTTAACCACTACACCAGACTGGCTTTCCCATAGATCTTACTATGAACATATGTGGGCTTTTCAGTCTCATTGAAACTATAATGGGACAAACACTAAAATAGTAAGAACAAAATCTAACCAGTGTTTGTCTCTCCCCACAAAAATTCTACCTCACTGGTAAAAATGTAATGCATGGCCAGGGTTCTTAAGGTTTTGGCAGCAAAAACAATAATTATTGCACAGAACAATAATTATTGCACAGGTCTCTTCAAAGGGGGATTCTTCCTTGTAGTACTTCCTGAAATGTTCATATAGTCACACAAACGAATATGATCACATGGTCAATCAAGAAAGCACTACAGAGGAGAAGTAGTCTCTGAGGAAAGCCCCATGCTGCTGTAAACATGAGAAAAAGTAAGAAAACGTGTGGTGAACATGTAGGGTATTTTTGATGTCAAAAGAAAGAAATGCCAAGAGCCTTGGCCAGTGTGTACATTTTCAAAAATAAGTAAAAACTCTTTTTGTCTCTAAATGGACCATTGAATTTATTTATAAATGCTCCTAAATTTTGCCAAAGCAGAAACCTGCATTAGTGGAGCAGGAGATAAGGCTCTTAATAAATTAGCAGGAGGATGGAAGTAAGTTTTCAGCTCACTTTTACCATTTTGATGCTGGAGATACAATCATCAAGAAAATGACGAAGATGGAAACGATGAGGCTCCCAGCAATGGCTAGAAGAACTGGAAGGAGCGTACTTTGTGGTGATGCTTTGGAAATAACCAGAAACAAACAAGTAGAAATTAGCTATTCATTGAAGACAACTATGTCCTATCTGAATATAAGAAGGAGACTCCTTACTGTATATAAAGCAAAATGGGCTTATGGGTTCACAACTCAGTGCAACATTGCAGACTTGAGCTTTTGTCTAATGAATAAGAGGAATATATATAATATATGTATAATATGTATAATATAATACAATATATATTATATTGCTTTTGTAATTATTTTGGCCCACCCACCCTAACGTGCATCATGATCCTTGCAGAAAACTCATTGCTTCCTATCAGGTTTTTTGTTATTTTTGAGATGAATGATCACAGCAATAAAAACTGGTACTTGACATGTGGTAAAGGAAAACACTAATCTTCAGCACCATCTTTATTTCCAAGAATACCTGCCAAACCCTTCTTAAAATATAAAAATGTTGATTGGCTGCTAGCCTGTGCTTTTGATGTTGCATGTCTTGACTGGATTTGTGTTGTGTTTGTTTTCTAACAATCACTCTTGTCTCTCTTCTTGTGCATTTGTAGGTGCTAATTTATCACTGAGCATTAGGAACTTATCTTCTATCTTTGCCTTGCATTCAGTTTTGTGATCTAGTTACTTGTGTTTGAGCTCTATCAGTTTGCTTCTCAAATGGGTATTGGAGCATAATGTTCTGGAGTCAAAGAACCGATTTGCAATTCTGACCCCATCTGTACCCAGAGGCATCCATGGGGAACAGGGAACCAGAAATGTCAAGAGGGAAGCCACAACTGGATGATTTTTTTTTTTTTAATTTGCCATGGTTGCAGCTGCCAGCCTCACTTTTTTACCTCCCCTGTGGACATCCTTGACTGCACTAGCTTTTGGGTAAAACTGGCAGCTATTGTGTGAAAAGGTACAATCTGTATGGTAGCTAATATTTATTCATTAGATTTACATTCCATCTTTCCTTCAGGAATCAAGGTGGCATTAGTATATAGACCCCCTTTTACTTTTTATCCACATCAACAATTCTCTGGGATTGGTTGACCTAAGAGATAGTCACTGGCTCAAGGTTGTCAGTGAGCTTCCATGTCTGAAGGCAGATTTGAACTTGTGTCTGTCCTAGTTCCTAATCCAGTACCTTAACAATTATATCACACTTGCTCTTGTGAATTCCAGATGTATTCTGTACCCCACAAATTGGGAACTCAAATAACATCCTGCACAATTACATTGATTAAAAGTTCATCATGAGACTTTTTGCATCCTGAAGCAAAAGACTTGAACCTAATTTTTCACACATGAGAAATTTAGCCCCATATGAATGTAAAAGTTTAAAAGAGGCACATTAACTTCAATCAGTGGTCTCCTTAAAACAGCTACCCTTTTTTCCAGCTGCTGGAAAAAAGAAAGAAAAAGACTGGCTGGTTTAATAAGCAGCAGAGAGGTGCTATGCTTGCATAATCCAGTTAGAAGCACTTCTTCCAATTCATTTCCTAATTTAGATTTTTAATTTTAGTTTGTTTTGTTTAATGGAAGTGTTTTTGAGATGTTTCTTTAAAATGATGTTCATTGTTTTGTTTTATAGGATATGTTATAAACCACCTAGAATCATATGGAAGATGGCACTATATAAATATTATAATACATTTCTGAAGTGTGTACATTCCTAATAAAAAGGATTAGGAGCACAGTCTAAATAAAGCTTATAAGTGCATATTTTAAGAAAAATATAATTTGAAATAGGCTTATGAGTAAACATGTGCAAAAGTAATGCAGGCTGGAAATTGTTCCTAATATTACGTGTATGAGATGTATGTACCTTGGACTCTGTCCATGCAAGATACTGTACATTAACCTGTAGAGATGTCTGTTTGCCTGAAACCTCCTCCCACCTCCTAACACATATGCACACCACCAGATTTCTTATTTATAATTTTTTTTTTTAGCTCAAGGATCGTTGTTAAATTTAACTCTTGAGTCTTCTACTTAAGTGCTTGGGAATCATTTTCCAACGTGTTCTCGAGATGTGACGCAAGCCTTCTATTAGGCCCCTTACCTTCAGGCTCTGTCCTCCATCTTATGGGAGGTGTGCTCCATCTGCTCCATATACTGTAATAATATTTGATCCGTTGTACTTTTACACGAATGGCTGCCTCAAATACCGTGTCAGGAGAAAGGTTCTCAATTATTAGCCATTTCTGATCCTGAGTTATGGGCAGGATTGTGTCATTCTGCGAAATGGAATCAAAAGTAATGAGATTTGAGTTGTGGTATAGAAAACCTCTGCACATTTTCTACCAGGATAGAATGGAGAATTCATAGCCCTACAACTTGTGGGCTGCTTGTGGCTTAGGTCCTGCCTAGCACTCCTGGATCATGCTACAAAGATTCAGCAGCACAAAACCAACTGGGGAAGGGGCAAAATAGGTATTAAGGCTTCCACCCTTAAAATACGCCCCCCACCCCAATTTTGAATATCCCTGCTCTGGCCACTCCAGTGATGTTACTACAACACTGGCTATAGATCTCAGTGACTGGAAAACATTAACACACACATATATATACACACATATACACACATGTATGCAGCTTTTGACCAAGGTTCCCCGAACTACCTTGGGCTTCCAGACGGTCTTGTCTTTTCTATAGACCGTCTGGAAGCCCAGGGTATTACAGGAATATAACACATCTGAAGAGTGCTCAATTAGAGAATTTAGTTCTTTCTGAATTTGTGGATGGGTCTCAATGGATACAAGAAACCTCACAGCCTAATATTATGTGCAAACCCTACTTCTGTTTTTAAAATTTGCAACAACTAAACATCCATCTTATCTAGATTAAAATTGGAAGCATGTTTCATTGTTACAACTTAAAAGTCATTCCTCCAAGGAGCACCAAGATTTTATTCAGAGTCCTTCCCATTGCCCCATTTTATCTTCCTAACAACTCTGCAAGTTAGGGTAAGTTAGATCACCCTGAAGGCTTCAAGGTACAAGTGGAGATCAGTGGCATCTGGTGGGGGGGGGGAGGAGGAGGATTTAAACAACCAAGAAAAGTAAATATGGCAGTTGAATCAACATGATTGAAGCCCTGCTCCCTTTGTCAGGGTGTCAGCTGACATCCCTCCCCCGGCTCCGATGAATAACACTGATGAAATTTCGAAACTGGGTATCAACTCAGGCTGGGCAAATATGTCAGCTTTTGGTTTTTCCGAGTTTTGAGCAGTTGTCAGTTCAGTTTGTCAAACCTAATAACAACAGCTGAGCACAACCAATACCTTGGTTTTCACATTGCATTAGGCCATTGTCTTGGGTTTAACAAACACAACTTGACAACTAAATTACAATTGATTGGATTTAGACAACATACTAAACCTTAAACCCTAATTTATAAATCACACTATCGGGGATCATGTTTGGTTTTGGCATAGCATATTATATGAACCCAGCCAACTGTGATTTAATCATCAAAACATGGTTAAGCACACAGTGGCTTAGAGTGGTGTACGAAGTAAGCCAAAGACTTTGGGCTCATCCATGCCCTGCAGCCAACTGTTTTCGAGCCTCAAGAATAGGTGGATATTCCTTCCATGCCTTTGTACTGTGTGTTAATCCTATACCACATTGCTTATAATCTTATTGCGGGTCCAAAACAAAATTGCAGAGTAAAAAATAATCAGTGGAATCAAGTCACTGCCTTCCATAAAGAAATCTTCCTCCATACCTCACCAGGAGAAGTTGCTCTATACCGTACTTCATATTCCAGTTTTTCTTTTAGATAATGGGAGAGAACACAAAGGGTCCAAGTTAAATTGTAAGAAGGCTTGCTGGCATTTTCCAGTTGAAAGTTGCAAGGAGGCTGGAGCTGAACTAAATTTGAAAGCAAGAAAGGAACTGATAACTAACTTTCTTAATAGTATATATGTTAAATCATGTGGCTATCATAAATTTCAGCAAGAACAATGATTTTCTGACTACTTCCCCCCTTTCCATGTGTAGCTGGCCACAAAGCAACAGTCCAACAGCAAGAGAGGTAATTGTCCTGTTTACCTAATAATCCTAACTGTTCTCCAATCTATTACATTTATCATCATTAGATAAACAGGGAGTAGAACACTTTTATGGGCAAAGGAGTTCTACCCAGCTAGGAAGTAGAACTGAAAGAATATTGCACAATCAGGAATCAAGAGGTAGTTTCTGTGGTGTGTGGAGTCTCTGTATAGCTACTTGCTGGGGACATAGTCAAGAATCTGCAAGGAGATGGGGAGGAATAGGCTTTGAGTGTTCATGCTACCCCTCTCTCTAACTCATGTCAGTTGCTGCTGGAAGTGTCCCATGAGAAATATATTTGTGAGTAAAGAAGCCCAAACCCCAGGAAATCAAACTGGTGAACCATTTAATGTATATGTGCACATGTGTGTGACAGGGATTCCCTCTGGAGCCATTGCTGCTATAGACCCAGCCACAACAGCTGCAGTAAGAGAACTAGGGAGAGAGAGGGTTTTTTTTTTTAAATCCACATCTCCCTTCTCTCTAACTTAAACTGTGGTTGCTGGATGCATTTGGAAGTGAATCTTCTTTGAAGAACCCTGCCCATTCAAGATATCAAATAATGTAGTGTTTGCTACTTTCTAAAGATTTACTCATGTATCACATTTTTATACTATCTAATCTCATGATTCTGGGCAGTGAACAACAATAAAAACTAAAGGAAAACATTAAAAGAAATGGAAGCTTGGATGGGGAAGAACAGGCACCAGCTCAACCCTGTCAAGACCGAGTGGCTGTGGGTTGTAGCCCTATGGTCCTCGAACTGCAGAAATCTCAACTTTGACTCTGAGCAGGCTTTCACTATCCTGCTCAAATTTGGTGTACAATTTTGGGGTGCTTCTGGCCTCACAGTTCTTGTTCGAAGAGTGGGTGGTTGCTGTGACCAAAGGCATCATTGTGCAACTACATCTTGTGTGCCAGTTGCACCTGATCCTGGATTGTTCTCACAGTCACTCACACCTTAGTCACCTCTTGATTGGATCATTGCAATGTGCTCTATATGGGGTTGCCCTTGAAGACCATCTGGAAGCTTCAATTGCAGTGGTGTGGGTAGTTATGGGCATTTCTCATTATGTCTATGTAACACCCCTGCTCCATGAGCTGCACTGGGTCCCTATAGGTTTCCATGTGCAATTCAAGGTGCTGGTTATCACCTCTGAGGCCCACAGTGGCAGCTCTGCACTTTGGAACAATCACTCCTCCAATATAGAGTTGGCCTCAAGCCTGCAGTCTTTTAGAAAGGCAGTTAAGATCTGGTTCTTTCCATGGGTGCTTGGGGTAGGATCAGTAGAGTTCCCAACTGGTGAAATATAGTATATACTAGTTCTTATTGCCATTTAAGTGTTTTAGTTGGCTTTAACGCTATGTGTTATTTTCCTATGTATCTTTGTTTAACAATCTCTTTTATGCCATCCAGAGTCACATTGTTTCAATTGGGTGACCATATAAATGTTCTAAATAAATAAATAAAACCAGATGTAGGAGGAATACATGATGGCTTGCCAATACAACTTAGGCAGCAGAAGCCTGTGTAAAAAGAAAAAAAAATAGCATTTTAAATACCAGAAGAGAGGGAGCCAAACTTACTTCTGGGTTCACAGTATTTCCTAAATGTGAGGACTACTAGAAAGAAGGCTTGCTTTCTAGTCCATGTGTCCCCTGCCCAAATTTCACACCTTGATGATATGGTGAGCAGGCTATCTTTGGGTGTCCTCACAGGACAGATGGATTCACTTTGGATTAGGTGGTCTCTTAAGCATCTTGGTTTAGTATAGCACATTTTGCTGGAGATATAGCCATATTGGAATAGGGTCAAATAGTTTCTTTGAGATCAACAAACTTTTGATCATTTCATTTATGGTCAATGTGATGAGTAGACATCAGAGATAAGGATAGTGGGACATGATACAGCATGATATTAGAAGTTGGGAGATAAGATTGAACTTGTTCCTGGTCTTAGTTTTATGAGAAGTGATATTGATTGTGCAACTCACTCTTTCCCTACACCATTATCTTGATGCCAGGTCAGTTAAAAACAAATTTATCTCACATTAGAGGAAGAAGTACATTTGGCATGTTTTACTGAAATTTGGATGGACAGTTAGCAAGCTGAATTTGATCTAGCCATGTGTGTATCAAGTACTTGTCCTTGATAATGTGCAACTTTCGTAGCCTGTGACCCTCTAGTTATGTGCAACTATAACTCTTACCTGGCTGTTATCCATGTTGATTGGGGATTTGGGGGAGTTGTAACTACAACATATCTGAAGGATCCCAGATTTGGAATGTTACTGATATAATGTCTATATAACTGGTGCTCCTATGTAAAAACTTAGTGGTGGTCTCAAGTCTTTCAGAACATAGGAGACAACAGTAATTATACTGAATCTAATCTGATTCAGCATAAAATTCATAGTCCTCATTATTTCATCTCATCAGCAATCCTGGGAGAAATATTTTCTCTGCATTCACACATAAGCTCCGATGACATGGGAAGGTTCTTGAGTTGTGGGTTTGGATGACTATTTCAGTTGCTTTGAGAAGCACCCCTCTGGATGCTTCACACAGTCGTATTTGTTTGGGAACAAACCAGAGTCAATTTCACATATAAAGTCATTGGAAGAATGTGGAACAGAGTGACCCCTGAACTAGAACTGGATCACTTTAAGCTGCAAACATTTGTTATAGGTTCTACACTACTGAGTTATGGTTTACTTGTGTTGTGGTTGTTGTTACTGTTTTCTTTCTCCTTGACATCAGGTTCATTATTTCAGTCCAAAGCTATCACTATCCTTGAGTTCCCACTACTGGTTTAGCAAGGACTGTATTTAATTGGTTGAATGTCTCTCATTGAGAGCTAAAAATGGAAGATAACAGGTGATGCCTGTGAGTGACAATGACTGCTACCCTCTTCTCTGGGGATGAACTTATTTTCCATTGCATAGTGCTAATTTGGCTATGTGGAAGATGGCACATGGAATCATAGGGATAGATATAGGAAAATGCATCATACAATCTGGTGAATTAGCACAGGGCACAGTAGCAAATATTTCAATCCAAAAACTTTCAACTCACTGTTCCGAAATGGTTCTATTGTCTGATTATGAACTTCTATCCATTTCTCCCCAGTATGGCAAGATACAACCAAGAGAATAGTGTCCACAATAGTCAAGCTGTAACCCTAAAAACAAATATGGAACAGAACCAGTTATACTATCACTGATGTTGTTGCAAAGAGCTGTACATATAATATGTCAGATGATGTTCCACAAACTCCATGATAGGTATAGCTATTAAATGTTCGTAATTAAAATTGGAGATTTACTGTTCAGTTACATAATTTGGAAGGAAACTTTCACACAGACATACTGTAATACTCCAGCAGGTCACCTCCACTGTAGGCAAGTAATTCTGGGATGTACTACTGAATTGTAACATATGTGTGAATGTGTGTGTGTTCTTTGTGTATCTTGACACATTCTCGAAAAATCTCAATCTCTTTAAATAATGTGCTTAGCACTGCCTTTTCTGGAAAACAATGATTTTGACGCTGTTACCATAAATTTTGGTTTCATCTAGGCTGCCTTACAGTAATATATTCAGTTTAAAATGTTGAATTCTTTTAAAGCCCTAAATATGTTTTACTCACGAACCTTAAACATTGTTTCCATCCATTAAAGTATTCCAGAGAATCAGGGCCAATATAGATATCTAAGCCAAGGGAAGAGTATGGGATTCAGGGATGAGGCTTTTCCAAGATCTTTTCAGTCATATGCTGGCCTGAATCTCTGTTCCATCTCTCACTTCCATCTGAAGTTAAACTGGTATTCATGTAAGAGACAGGGCCTTGGTCTATCACGGCACCTTGGCTCTGAATGAATTTCCTTTTCCTGGAACCCTAGTTTAGCTCCTTTTTCTCTCACTTCTCTGAAGGATTATGAAGACAAATTTTACAACACCTGATTTGGATGACATTTTATGTCATATTTTTATTAGGACTCTCCATTCAATTTTTTTTTCTCTGATGTTTTGTGGAAATTTGGTAATTGTTTTTTATTGACAGAGGGATGGTATTCGCATATTTTATTGTACATTTAAACATTATAATTCATTTTATAATTGAATAAATTATATACATTTTATAAATCCATTAATTTATGGATTGTGATATTAAGTTTGAATAACTAAATAAAATCACCCCACAATTGTTAAATTAGTTTAACTGTTTGATATATATAGGTCCTTAGAAGTTTGGTGGCTTTGGTGATAGTTGACATATTCTCTTTTTCCCTCTGCCAATTAAAGGGAATAGATCAAAGTAATATAGAGAAGAATAAGAGTGGTATATAATAACTGAGTCTTTGCATACAACATCAGTAAACAAATCAATTTATTATTGAAGCAGAGATTTCAGCCCTATGTCAGAGAGTCTTAAATGAGACAATTTTAATATGCTGCAGAATTTTAATATGCAGAAAGACAAAGAACTTGTTGGTGTTGAAGGATTAATCAATTGTATTTCATCAAATACTGTTTTTTCAGCCTCATATATTGAGAAAAGCTTTCGTAAACAGGCTGTTCGCATTTTTTTTTGTAAATGAATCACTCACCTCAAGAATCAGCTTACAACTTCTTATGGTTGTGCCATTCATTTGACATGTCTTCGGTGGTTTTCTGTAAGGAAGAGAACATAAGGCACAAACTTTCTAAATTTTGCACATAATTCGTTCACACGATACAAGATAGCAGTTGTAGGATCAGATAACTCACATGCAGGAACAGGTTGTTAATTTAGCACCACTGATAGAATTATGCACTGGCCAGGCCCAATTCAGAATATTGATGCTTATGAGTATAAAACCCCAACATATTTTAGGAATGAAATAGATAAAAGAGAATGTTCCCCAATATCTCTTAATCCAGATTTTAAGATCATATGGGGAGATCTTGCCATTTGGAGTGGTGTATGGTGTGATAGCTTGAAACTGAACTTTCTTAAAGGCAGCACTCCAACTATGGATTTTGGGCGAAGCATGGAGCCTTGGACAAGGAAAACCATACTTGTTCACAAACTTTGGAGGTGTAATATGGCCACAGGACTACTATTTTTGAAATGATATTTCTTGTGATTTGCTTGGTTGCTGGGTCTTTTTAATTCTGGTATGGTGGTGCTTTGTTTGTATTGAGCTATGTACCATCCAGGCTCCTTTGCAAGGAAAGGCAGTATATGAGCAAAATACATAATAAAGCATGCCTCCAACCTTTTTCAGTTGAATCACATTCAGATGCCAATCTGCCATTCCCATTTCAGATGCTCTGGATGGAGCAAGTTTACTTTTGAATCAAAGCAAATTACAGAATTATATCAACATTTTTGACATGACCAATTTTAATGCATACATTTAAATATTTTATAAAATTAATAGTCAGGTATAACAAAAGTGGAGCCAGTTTGGTATAGTGGTGAAGGCAGCAGGCTAGAAACAGGGAGACCATGAGTTCTAGTCTCGCCTTAGGCACAAAGCCAGCTGGGTGACCTTGGGCCAGTCACTCTCTCTCAGATCTAGGAAGCAGGCAATGGCAAGCCACTTCCGAAATCTTGCCAAGAAAACTCAGGGACGTATCCAGGCAGTTGTCAGGAGTCAACAATGACTCGAA